CCTGTTGTTAAGACCCGCGCCTGGTACCTGTAATTAGCACGAACTCTGAGTTTGTCCGACTGTTGTCCCGAACGCTAGAACGAGAGAAGAAGTCAATCGGCCAACGGGAGAAGTGTATTAACACAGCAAGTTACTGCACGTCAGTCACTAAAAGGCTGCGGTGTATTTATTTGACATCTTGATGAGGAGGCGCGTCGGTAACACTGGACCAGTCAGATGAGGCGAAAAATCGATAGCCACGACGCTCGCTATCGAGTGATCGTAGGAATGGGCGCGTCTCCAACAGTTCCGCAGGTCACAACCTCAGGCCTTTGCCTGTGCAGAGTTGAAATCCAGGTACCCGGAATGGAGACCGTGAGATGCCCGTGCCGGGTAAAAGACGTGAGCCACGCAAACTCGACACGAGCACCGCTTCCCGCGCGGTCGGCCGGCGCGTGTGGGAATGCGAAGTCGGGGCCTCTCATGAGTCACCGAGCTGCACAAGAATTACCAAGAGCATGAATTCCAGAGAACATCTATGAAATTTTTATTATTAAGCTGAAGGCTAGAGACCTTACTATGTGATAGACCTGTAGTCTATTCGAAACCAGAGCAACCTACAAGTTGCCCGTCGTACGGCAAGATTTGACTCGAAGCGATCCCTTGTGCGGTACGGCAATTTGAAAAAATCTTTACAGATTACTAAAGGTCTTTGTGTGTGGATGCAGTGGGGTTAAAGCAAGTAAATCGTTATATATTGCGAAGTTGAACGCATTACTCGTTTCGTAGGTGCGCGGAGCCATTTGCGGTGCTTCGTCGTCCCGTCGCACAACCAGCTTATGCTCATGTGTGCGCGATCCGGGCATGTTTTCAGTTTGACCTGTGTATTTACAAGGATAGCTTAAGCATGAGATGCGGTACGCTAACCCAGATTGTTCTTTGGGATCTAGTCGGTCCTTGATTTTCGTCACCTCGCTGCGCGTGTTTCTGTTCGCACGTCCCGAAGTGGAACACGTAGTTACCCGGTCCAAGTTGTCGGATTTTGAATATGCGTCTAATCACCTGCAAATATCCCACGTACTCAAAAATATCCACTTAAGTGGTGTGACTTCTTATTTACTTTCAGAACCTTTATACATCGATACATAAAGGCATCAAAAATTGATGGAGAAATCTATAATACTTAGTCACCATTAACGGCGCTTGTGATATTCGCAAGGTGGCCGAAAAGACGCACATTGAAAAAGC